AAAATCTTAATTTTAAGATTGAGTTTTGAATTTCTATTGACCAGAAGATAGAGTTTAGCTATCCTCATCTGCACTTTACTCTTGATATAATCAATGTGATTTGCCCAGGTGAGTCGGCGGTCTACCCAAAGACCTAGGTACTTGACTCACGTTTGCCATCCGATCTCCCCGCCTGAAATCGTGACCCTTGTGTCTGGAGAAACTTTACGTCTCCCCAAGTCTATCGCCTGAGTTTTTTCTGGATTGAGAATAACATAGATGTGGCTCTAGTCCTAGAGACACATCTAAGGAACGAATCTATAGTCATTCCAAACTACAGATTCTTTCACAGAGAACGTGTTGGACGTGCTGGAGGGGGAGTTGGCATTTTTGTCAAGCGATCCCTGCAGTTTGTCCAATACGGTATTGACAGTGCTCGATTGCACGGTACTGAGACCATGGGGGTCGAAATTCAACTGAGAAGGGGTTGTCACAGAATAATCTCGGTCTACAACCCTCCGAACATTCGTCTACTCCCAGAATCTCTGGATGAACTGCTGATGGGAAGCAACATTCCGACAATTGCTGCTGGCGACTTCAATGCCAAGCACAGACCTTGGAGCAGAGCCACAAATCGAAACGGCCAAGCGCTCCATGCGCATGTTGACAGACATGAATATCTCGTGCTGGGACCAGATGAGCCTACGTACTATCGCGGGCAGACTAGGCCTGACGTACTAGACATCGCGCTTCTCAGAAACGTCACTCTGACCAGTGAAATTTACGTTCTGTCGGAACTGGATTCTGATCATAATCCAGTAATCCTGGTACTGGGCGATGATCTTCCTCCCCCTGAATATCGCGTGAGATCTAAGACGGACTGGGATGTCTTCACAGCCCAGCTCGAAGAGATGCGCGCCCCTCCTGAGGTACTCGACTCTCCCGACGAACTCGACGCGGCAGTTGAGCGTTTCGAGCTTTCCGTGAATGATGCGTTTCGAGCGGCCACCTCCAGGGAGGAGTGTCCGCTGAAGAGCTACAACGAGTTTCCCCCTCGTATCAAAGCCTTGATACGAGAGAGAAACCGCCTGAGAAGGCTCTACCAGCGAACCCTTTTCCCAGGGGACAAAACAGCGGCGAACAGGATGGCCAATCGTGTCAAACAGGCCATCAATGAACACCGAAACGAAAGGTGGGAAGAGCTCTTGGAATCCTTCGAACCTGGGAGTGACGAGCTTTGGCGAGTCACTCGTAGGCTCAGGGGGAAGAAGACTGCTCTCTCACCCATTCACGGAGAGCGCGGNAGGGAAGCCACAGATTATGCTGTAGACGACCCCTCCCGATATAGAAGGCCCCGACACTCTGTCGAATGAGGCCCTCATGTCCCCCGTTAACGGATGAATAACTTTTTCATCCATCCCACCCCAGCCAGGTAGGGGTATCCCGTGAAGGGCGACACTGATGTCTAAGGACTTCATGCCGTCACCAATTCAGTCATGAACCCATTGGTCCCTCTCAAGACCAACAATCAGCCAAAAGGGTAGGGGAGCTGGTCTCCAAACTTGGATGAAATGACGATGACATTCTGTTTCTGGATTCACTCGAATCTTCCAGTCAAGGTACCAGCGTTCGAAGTCGTCCAATGCGCGTTGCATGCAGACGACCGCCAACGCCCGACCCATGGCAGAAGCGAGGAGAGCCATATCATCGGCATAAAGGGAAACCTTCACGTGATCGAACCTCGGAATGTTGCTCACGTATAGGCTGTACAGAATTGGAGACAGCACATCTCCCTGAGACATTCCAGCTTCGATTTCCCTGACGGGAGACAGAGTTCCTTCAACTCGGACCTGAAATGATGTGCCTTTCAGAAAAGACCTAATCCACCGTACCAGACCCCAGAACGAAATCGAGCATTTTGTGTAGCAGGCCTTCGTGCCAGACTCAGTCGAAGGCTTTCGAAATATCCAGGAGGACAAGATGGACTGTCTTCCTGCAGCTCGGTGGAGTGTGCCCTCCTGAAGCCGAATTGTTCGTCAGGCAGAACATTTCGTCTTTAACTTCTTCTGTTAGCCTTTGCAGCACAACAAGTTCAACCAACTTAGCAGTTGAGCAGAGCAGACTAATCGAACGATGATTCTGGAATCATGACAACTATGGCATGCTTCCATCTTCAAGGGAAGTATCTAAGAGTGAATTAGCTGTTGATAATGTCCAGCAAGTATCTGACGAAGTTCTCCGGAAGCTGCTTCAACAACCTGTTGTTTATTGAATCAATTCCCGGAGCCTTCTTGGGTTTGGAGGCCCTAATGTACCCCCTCAATTCTTTCTCCGAAGTTGGACGGATCACGTCGTCATCATTTTCCCTAAGGATGCGCCGAACTCAGTTTCCAGCCGGATATCATGGTCAATATCATCATCCGGATCCTCGTTAAGTCGAAACTGACGCTCCATTGTGTCTGCTAAAGCCAACGCCTTCTCGGCGGGGGAGTAGCAGATGCCGTGCTGTCCGTAAAGAGGGGAGGGAGCGGTTTTTCTCTTCTCAAGCCTGCGGATGACTCGCCAGAGCTCGTCATCCCCAGGTTCGAGCGATTCCAAACAATCGCTCCACCTCTCGTTTCTATAGTCAGTGATGGCCTGTTTAACATGGTTGGCCATCCCGCTAGTCACAGCTTTGTCTCCAGGGTAGAAAGTCCGCTGATAAACACGTCTGAGTCGATTTCTCTCCCGGATAAGTTTCTTTAACCTGGGAGGAAACTCATTGTAGCTCCGCAGAGGATACTCTGTCCTAGTTGTGGCGCGCGGAAAGCGTTGTTCATAGACAATTCAAAATCTGCCACTGCCCCGTCGAGACCGTTGCGAGTTTGAAGCGCCTGACGGTCTGTACGTGTCTCCACTAGGTGAGCCTGGAAGGCTTCCCAATCCGTGGATGATCTCATGCGATAATCCTGGGGAGGGGGATCATCACCCAGAATCAGGATGACTGGATTATGATCTGAGTCAAGTTCCGACAAAGTATATACTTCGCAGGACTTGGAGACGTTCCTGAGCAGTGCGATATCAAGCACGTCAGGCCTTAAATCTCCACGGTAGAACGTGGGCTCATCGATACTCATGCCTATCAGCATGCGGATGGAGCGCTCGACCGTTCGCATTGGTAAGTCTGCTCCACAGATTGTGCTTGGCGTTGAAGTCACCAGCAGCAATTATGGGGGTATTTGTCGACATCAGCAATTCATCCAGTAATTCTGGGAGTAGACGATTCCACGGAGGGTTGTAAACTAAGATTAGTTTATGACGACCTCTTCTCAGTTGGAGCTCAACGCACACGGCTTCCGTGCCATGTAACTGATCCGAGTCAATGCCAAATTGTACGTGAGGAAGATAACGTTTGAGAAAAATGCCAACTCTTCCTCCAGCACGTCCAACGCGTTCTCTGTGGTGAAAACGGTAGTTTGGAATACCAAAAGGTTCATTGTGCAGGTGGGTTTCCTGCACCAGTGCAACATCGATGTTTTGTTGTATTAGAAAATTCTCAAAATCTAATTTCTTGTTTGAAATACTGTTGGCATTCCAAAATACAACCTTAAGAGAATTAGGCAATGTTGGTTATCTAGCCATTAACAGGTTCCAGTTAGCACTTTGGTGTTCACCGTAAACATCTTTTCGAGTACGGGGAACTGAATGAAGAGTTTCTTCATCTGGTCCAGAGCGGAACAGATGTCACTAACCTCCGACGGGCGAGGACTACTGGGCGCCTCGGTCGGCCTGGCTGCTTCTGCGTAGCTCATTCCCGGGCGTGTGCCAGATGCTCCGGCAGGATGCTTTCCAGGTGTGGGTGCATTTCGGGGGGCATTTGCAGCTACTTTGGTTCTCCTACGAACCCTGAGGAACTCAGGACCACCTCGGTAGTTTGCAGTATGCACACCCTTGCAATTATTGCACTTGGGCGGATCTGCTCGTGGGTTCTTGCACTCACCTGAAAGGTGTCTGCCTGCGCATTCGGAATAGCTAGGCAGTTCCATTGGCTATGCCCGAACCGCTGACATCGGTGACACTGCCCTACCAGCGTTCTTTGGTGTTGGGGCTCAACCTTAACTTTAACGTTAAGGAGATCCCGGATGTCATAAATATGCTTCTGATGTTGGTTCATTTGAACCAAAACCAGGGATAGCGGTCGATTTCCTCGCATCATCCTGGTGACGGACGATGGTTGGAAACCTTTCCCAACCAAAGCGTCTTCGATGTCAGCGGTCTCCAGATGTTCCGGGACTCCTCTGACGACGGTTCTGATTTGCCTGTCTTCAGGTAAGGTATACGTGCGGTAAGGATTTTTTCCTCACCAATGATTTGGACATACTCCTGTAGTCCTCGGCCGAAGAAGGCTGAACCTTGATGCCGTTAGCCATGTTTACTGCCTTGGTAAAGTTCACCTTATGGAAGGCAGTCAGCTTTGTGAATTGAACCCACTTGTCCTTCTGGCGAACGACAATTAGAGGAACGCCTGTTTTTCTGGTACTTTGGGGCACCTCAAGACGCGGTGGAAGAAGAGAGCCAGTTCCCTGATCGTTGGGGTTTTCAACCTGATTTAGATTTTGGGATGGCAGTTTTGGGCCACCCTGTATAGTCGAAATCGTTTTTTCAGACCGATTGTCGTCAACCAACATTTTATGTTCACCTTTGGGAAGACTCTGTTGTTGAGAGTTCTGACTCTGAAGTGTTGTTCTTGGCTTCGTCCCAGAGCTTTGGCATCTTTTTAGCCACTTTTTTCGACCTGTTGCCGGTATTTTTGTTTACTGGAGGGACTGGTTTAGATGGAAGAGAAGGAAACTCTTCTTGAAGGCGACGCTTTTCGTTGGCCGGTTCTTGAGGCTTGATCGTATTGTCGTCGTTGTTTGTCTCAGACTGAGCAGAGAGGGTGGTGCCGACAGGAGTATCTCTGTCGAAAAACTCACACCCTTTGATATTCCAAGAGTAGGCGATGAACAGTTCCGTGAAAGTGATAGTTTGAACGCACTCACCATAAGTCTGGAGAGTCCTTGCGCACTACAACCAACGCACTCACTAATAGGAGATATGTAACTACTGGTGAATGGCTTGATCATCCACCAGAAATAGTCGTATTTGTGGAAAAAACTTCGAAATTATCGCAGTGAAAAATATTCTGTATATAAGTTGGACAGCTAACGTCAGAAATCAGTACGTCCGTCCACTACCACGCTCACCACGGAACTCCGTCTCGTAGTTTTTTCCAGCTGTCATATTCGAATATCATAGTTGTTTCATCCGCGAACCTTATCATATCTCCAGGAGCATCTATGATTAATTTGCCATTGATATACATAGTGAACAATATTGACCCCGAGACAGTTCCCTGAGGGACTCCGAAAGGTACTGTTCTGGAATGTTACAACTATTAACTCACAGTTGCTATCTACGATCCATCACATGAGTTTCTACTAATTGCCTTGTAATTCCTCTAAAGCCCAAATTCTCAGACGTTTAGTAATTGAGAGTAACTGCAGAAATTAAGAACACATAAAAGTTTTTCAGCCTTGGTCCAGTTTTTTTGTTATATGATACGTTAAATAAACTATGACATCCTGAATGGACTTATTTTGTTCAATTCCGTATTGTTTTTTATTTGTAAAATTATTTTTCATAATATAAGGTAATATTCTTGTTTCAAATGCTTCTTCGAATAATTTAGCAAGGTTGACTATAATGGAAGTTGGTCTAATGAATCCGCAATGAATAGGTATTTATTCACATTTTCCAAAGTTTGAAAATAAACGTGAACCAATAATTCTAATTGAAATGAAACATATGAATTTACTAAAACACATTATTCTTCCAAGTTTTCAAATAAGAAGTAGTTAAAATAATAATCTATTCTATTGACTGCATATGTTGAGTGAATTGAGATGGATACTGGATTCAAAAACCAAACCATTGAAGGAATTGATACAGTCGTATCCCCAGCTATATTTGATAGTAATAGATAAAAGTAATAGATAATAATTAAAAGTGTTTGAATAATTTATTCAGTCTTGAATATATACAGTTTTTTTATGAATTATGCAGCAGAGGGCAGATGAGCACCTTGAGCCCTGAACCCATCTTTGTCGGCAATGTAGACTACTTCATAAAGGACACCGTCAGGCCCTGGGTAGCTGTATTTTCCTTGGACTACGCTGGATGGTTNAAGTTCCAAACAGTGCATCACATATCCAAAAGTAATTGCATTTTTCAACATCATGAGTGGAATAATACTATATTGAAAAAGCTTCTATTTTTCAAAAGTAAGCTGATATAAAGATTCATCGATATTCGTTTTTGGTCTAACATTTTGATAATGACATATTATAAATAGCTTTGAAATCCGAATTGATATCTCAAGAACTGGTTATTTTCTAGAAATGTGTATTTTGCAAAAATATTGGAGTTTTTCCTTTTATTTCATGAATTATTAAATACTTTGTATTATAGCTCATACTGATACTAAAAAAAACAGATTATTTTTATTCAATTGATCTATTACATATTCAATTCAATTTCAGAAAACTCTTGAATTCGAGTGTGGCGTTGCATAACAAAGTCACACATATTCAAGAGACTATTAGATGCAAATTTTTTTAATTTGTATCTGTATTACCAAACTTACTCACCACTTTCATTTTGTTATTGATGCTTGTTAGCTAACGATGTGAAGAAGAATATGTTTCTTTCAATTTATACGATTCATTATATCTGCAAATCTAGGTCCCCTCTTAATTTTGACATACAAACAGGTGGATAGATGTATTTGAAACCTCCAAACTGGTTGGTGCATGGGTTGTAAAAATGTATGGATTGTTTCATAAGAAAATTGTACATTTCAATAATATTATGACACGTCGTTGATTTGATAATTTTTTCCAGCTCACCATCGATTCTTTCAAATGGCAACTTTGACGTTTCGATATTAACTTGTGAATTCCAAATTCTAGTGGAAAACTTGATGAGTTGAGTTGAAAGAACTCTAGCATTTCAAAATAATCAGTTATTTATGTCTCAACTTTGAAATCCACCTAACATACATTGCTTTTGATACTCCCAAAGGCTAGGTAGCTGTTACAGAAATTCACTTCAGACAACAGACCTGTTGAACCAATTTAGATGAATATAAATGAGGTGCTTATGACACCGCTGTCTGTATCAATATTTTTATCAGGTAATTATAATTTCTGAAATTCACATTATCGTTTGTTTCTTGAAGAAATAATCTCAACATACAGTATAGTAGATGAATCATTTGGTATAAAGCCTATAAAAAAAATGTGAAAACGTCGATTATAGTTTTCAGGGATCACATTTCTACCTGAAAACAAACCTCTTGTCATTCACTACCTCCTCACTACAAACCATATGTCAAAAATCTCAAATGAGGCAATTAGTTGAGTGACACCTTATCTGAAAAGTATTTCACTTTCCACATATCATAAAAAATAAAATACTATTTGAGTTTACATTTAATTTCGAACTATAAAGTAAAACAATACAAAAAAAGTTACTTCATCAACTATTGACTTCCATTTAATGGCTCCTGTTTCTTTCCTCACATTCTGGAGAAAATCAAATGTTAGTAATACACAGAACCTGTCAATGTTTTCTCGTAAATCATCAACAGTAGTTGGCTGCATCTCCTAGACTGTTGAAATCAATTGAGGGATGTGGTCTATCGACCCGGAAAGTTATAATCGAGGAATTTTCACACTGTAATTACGCACTGAGGAGAAGCATCATCTTGTTGGAAAAAACTAGCCCATTCCGTAACACAGGATCTAATTGTATGGTATTCTTGATAATTGGCATAACTTGATGATTGAGAAAATTGAACTATTTTTCACCATTGAGGTTGGCTTCCAAACAAAATGGATATGTAAAATGATTACCCAAAATTACTACACAGATATTTAGTTTTTGAAGATATTGGTGAATTTGGCGTGTCACTTGAATGAAACCATCGGAGATTTTGACAGTTCACTTCATTCATATAAAAAATTACATTCATCCGAGAAACATTTGGTGCTGACGAAAACTGGAACACGGTTATCACGTTTCACAAAATTCAGTTCTTTTGTCGAAATCATCTTCGTTCAATTCGTAAATTATTTTCAATTTGTAAAAGTGTATTTATGTTGTCTGGTAATAATACTATAAGTTTTCATGAATTTATCTAACAATTTCAATACATGTTTTTGTTCCACGAGTATATGTCTGTCATGCACACGAACAGCNTACATGTTTTTGTTCCACGAGTATATGCCTGTCATGCACACGAACAGCGGCCCATGCAGATTTTCAATATTCGTACAAAATCACCATTTCAATTCGCTCTTGAAGTGTTAAAACCATTCTTATGAATAAACGTAATAAACGGGTTAATTGCCACCGTAAGTTCTCATTTATATCATTTGTCTATTTCTAATAGTGGATAGTTTGGAGAAGAATAAAGAGTCAGAAGAGTATTTTGTTTTTTTTTTCAGATATTGTTTATCATTGTAATGTGAAAATGTTATATTACAGTATTGTATGACCATCAAAATGAGTTACATATTTTTACATATGAGAAGTGTTGTGGAAAGAGAGTGGCTAACAAAGGGATTGATTTTTGAGTAAAAATATGTCCCCCAGAAAACAAAATTTTGTGTTCCACATTTTTTTCGCAATCTCCATATCAACTATATCAACCGAAATAGAAACTGGAAAATGTATGTGATCCCATAATTTCAAAAATGTTGCTTTAAATAAACTTCATAATAAATTTATTCTACCAATACTCGCATCAATGTTATCAACCAATATTTTACAGAGATCGTTCTCCCTTACAAACAAAAATTACTCTTTTGACATATGTGATTGAATCTATTCAGTTTCACTGAACATTTTAAGAAACCGTGATACGTGTTTCCCAATAGCTTTGGTATTGAACATACCTGAAGTGAATTGAGTAGATATGAATCTGACAATCAATGTTCATTTATATACAAATTGATTTTTGAAATGAGTATTACAAATTTAAAGAAATTCAAAGAAATAAGCCTCGTAAAGAAATAACATCATGAGTATTTTATGACTCTACCAATGTGGAACTACATGGACAATTCGCAAGGAATAGTTACGAAACAATGCGAGAAGAACAAACACTTGTCAGGAATATGTTTGAATAGACTTGACGCATGTATCCCAATATATTGTGAACAGTGATGATGCCTACAATTATGAAGTCTTATATGATCAGTTCCATTACTTGAAAGACGGTTAACCCGCAAGACGATAGTTAAAAGATGTATCAGCCAACCATTGGATTGTAAGAAGAGCAGTTACCAAGTTTTCTGCAAAGTCCTTAAAATTCAACCCCTCCATTATTATTGTTGATTTAGTTCAGAAGACAAAATTTCAGTATTATTTGCATGTCTCGAATGTTCAGCTAACTTGAATTTTTCTATATCTTGATGGTTCATGCTAATTTTTAGTTCAGATTTTCTCATCCTTAATGGTCTGGAAGTTAGAGATAAACATATGTTTTGATCTTTGTTTTTCATTAGCCTATTTAATTCGCTAATCTCATATTATTGAAATCAAAACTATTCAAACGGTGAAATATGATAACACTTGCCCAAACTATTATTCAAAAGTATTTTTGAATAGTTTCTATACAAGAATATTATAAAATGATGTTTGTACCCAACAATCCATATACGAGCCTCGAACCATATAGGGACCGTTTGCTCCGTTCGATTTCTATCCAATTCTGAAGAACAAGGCAGATTTTAGCCCCCGAAACGTTAAGATAAGTATCTGCATTAATTCTTATGCAGTAACTTATTGAGGTGGAAACGCTTCTCTTTCATATACCTTTATGGAGTTCTTGATTTTGTCAAAACATGGAAGGTGAAAAAACCCAACGAAGAAGTGAAAAATTACAATTTTTTTCAGAAAGTCTCAACTAGACGTGATTGTTCAGAAGTTTCAGAGACATAATGCCCTCAGTCAATATATCTCTTTATTTTTGTTACCAACTGAGGTACATTCCTTTACTGATAGTTTTTCATTGAATCAAATAAGTGACGTAACTGCAAAATACTTCGGGTAGACTTGAATATATTGTTACGCCACAT